ACCTGCCTCTGCCTCCCAGGTGCTGGGATTAAAGCCGTGAGCCAGAACCACAATTCTTAACATTTAAGACTGTTAAATGACTTCAGATTTCTGATGAAAAACAATTAACCACAATATATTTGCCAAAACAAATGCTACAAAACATACACTTTGTTGAATATATTTTCTGTGCTTTTGAGTTGGACTTCTTCTTCTATACCTATTATTCTTAGGTTTGGTTTTTTCATGGTGTCCCATATTTCCTGGATATTTTGTTAAATTGAATATTCTCTTTGACTGGTGAGTCTATGTCCTCTGTTGATCTTCAGCACTTGAGATTCTCTTTTCCATCTCTTGTATTCTGATGTTCATGCTTGCATTTGTGGTTCCTGATCGTTTTCTCGTCAGTTCGGTTTCTATAATTCCCTCGGCTTGTGTATACAACATAAGCTTTATCCCAAAGTCTATTCTCTTAGCAAATAAACAGTTGCTTTATTTTTTAGTAGACAATTGAAAAAGTATTTGCAGTCAGTCACATCTCTTAAGTAAAAATATTCCTGACCTCCTGGTGGAGGCTTGCACAAGACATAGTCTCACCGTGGCTGTATCTCTGCAGTGCTTAGACTGCGACTGAACCCTAGAAACATTACCTTTCTTCCCATCCCCCACCACTTGGTGTGCTTATTCAGTTGACTGAGCCCCTCTGTCAGGAGTGGCCCCATGGGTGATTCATGCTGTGTACTTGTGTACCTAGTCTCACTACCATCAGGGACATGGTAGAGAATGGAGGTTAGAGTTCAAGAAGAGCAACATCAGAGCCAGAGGCAAGTCCCTTAGCCACTAATCTGAACTTAGAAAATTGTGTCTTTAAACCCTCATGTGTTTCTTAGTAGACCCTTTCTGAAGATTTCTGAAAGACAATATGTTAGGCTCTGCTCATCCTCCAATCCACCTGAATTTGAATTTTTCTATGTTTCATGCCTGTCTTCAGGCCTCAGTCTTCTAAGGACTGTGGAAGCAGTGTGCTCTACCAACTATGGGTACAGGCAGAGCACCAAAAGATTTGGAAGAGATGATCAAGTATTAAAATTCTGGGCTATCAAGATGGCTCAGGAGGTAGAGGCACTTTTCACCAAATCTGAATTTGATCCCAGGGACTCACATCGAGGGAGGACATGGAATCAACTTGTCCTCCTACCTCCACCCATGTACCATAATGCGCACACACATATACGCACACACACAAAACACGTAGGTAGATGGATGGATGGACTGATAGATAATAAAGGTTTGAAATGGTTTTAAAAATAAGATTTAAAATTCTATGTACATTAAACCATATTCCTAGATAATAATGGAATCTAGCAATGGAAATGGACATTTTTCCAGAAAAAACTTAAAAATAAAAAAAATTATGTTCTTCAAGCTCAGCATGATCTACAGAGCTAGTTCCAGGACAGCCAGAGCTGCTACACAGAGAAACCTTGTCTCAAACAACAACAAATTGTGTCCTTATAGCATAATTTCTAAGAAGTAAAGGAAAGATTTTTATGTAAAGCAATTCTCGGTTCCAAGTCATGTTAACCTGGTGTCTGACTTTCCTCTGCACATTTTGTTCTGGTTGTTCCTCTTTGGACTTTAAAATCCACTTGTCTGCCAGGTTCTATCTCTTCCCACCCCTCTTTTCTTAACTTCTTGATCAGTATTGCTGAAGCTCCCTTTCACTTCTTTCTATTTTTTAGGTTTCCTGTCTTAAGAATTCCACACATCTCAGTTATACTCTCATCTTTTCTCTTTATTTTGGTTCTCCTGTAGAAGCTTCTGTGTGAGCCGAACTGTCTAGGCTCCTTGGTACTCTATTAGCCCTCTGGGCGCTCTGTCTGATTATGGTAGTTTCATTGTATGATGATGCACACCCCTTTTCAGATTCCCTTTCTCCCTTCTCCAACATTCCTGGTAGCCTTCTATACACATGAGGAGAACACCCAGTCTGCCACCTCCCACGTGTGTGTGCCGTTTGCTTCTAATCGGAAGAGCATCAGGGCCTCTTATTTGGATGATTAGTGTTAAGTATTCAAAACAAATTACAACTTTTAGTTATTCAAATTTTGTTTTGTATATGCTGTATTTTATAATAAACTATTTTAATAACAAGTTTAAAATATAAACCTTACACATTTTTAATTCTAAACACGTAGTCTTGTTTGCCATTGGTGAATTCGTCCTTTTGACTGTTATATATATTTATAAAAAATTTCCTCCTAAATCCTATTTCTGGTCGTTTGCTAGCTGTATATTGTCTCATAGTCTCCGAGGCATTTTTTTTTTAATTGGTGTCTTGATGGTGTCTTTCAAAGAACAATTTTTTAAAAATATTGATGAATTTTGTTTATTGGTTTCTTTTTAATGGTTCTTGCTTCTGTCCTACGGATTTTTTCATTGATTTTTCTTATACGTCTGGAAATCTTACAGTTAGTTTTGTTATTTCTTTCAAGCTGCCTTTTGCATCTCCAGGTGAAAATGCCTGAGAGTTTGGTTGGGTTTATGGTGGTTGATTGGGGTGGATGATCATTTTTAAGAACAATGAATCTTCCACCACATCCTTGTTTTTCATTTATAATAGCCTTTGTTCATTGTTATGTTTCAGTGTTTGCAGAATAACTGTACTAATGCTAGCTAAACCTTCTTTTAAAATAACCTGAGGGGGCTGGAGAGATGGCTCAGCAGTTAAGAGCACTTTCTGCTCTTCCAAAGGTCTTCAGTTCAATTCCCAGCAACCGCCTGGCGGCTCACAGCCATCTCTAATGAGATCTGGTGCTCTTTTCTGGCCTGCAGGCATACATACAGGCAGAATACTACACTAACTAACTAAATAACTAACTAAAAATAAATAGATAAATAGATAGAGAGATAGATAGATAGACAGACAGATAAAAATGACCTGAGCAGGCTGGGTATGGCCTCAATGGTGGAGTGCTTTTCTAGCACACAAGAGACTTGGGACTTCGGTTTTTGAGACAGAGTTTCTTTGTGTAGCAGTCCAGGCTGTCCTGGAACTCACTTTGTAGACCAAGCTGGCCTTGAATTCACTGAGAACTGGCAGCCTCTGCCTCCCCAGTTCTGGGAAAAATGCATGCACTGTCCGGCAGCATGAGACCTTTGGATAGTTTTGAATTTGTCTTTTTTGAGACATGTTAACAGCTAACTTGTTTAATGGTGAAAGCCTGAAGTAATGTTTAGAAAATGCTCTGAGTTTCGCTCACTGCAGTTTTCACAGGCTAGAGAATTCCCTCTCAAATCAAGGGCAAAGTGGATAATCAGGACTAGGGAGAGGGAGAATTATTGCCTCTGCTCATAGCTAATAGGGAACCGGTGTTACAAACCCAACTTTTCTGTGATAACCCAGTCTTTTAACATCTTAAACATTAGAGAAGATGCAACTTAGCTAAGTGCTTGCCTTTATTGTGATACCTGGCCATCTTAGAATCTATTTCCAGTAGCCTAAGATATTGCAGACTTGTATGATCAGTAAAATAGTGGCATTTGCTTTTCTTGGGTGAGTTGGAAGATTAGGAGGTCTTGTTGAGAAGTGGGACAATGATGGGCTTTTTAAAATCTGTAACGTAAGATTCCTTTTTATATTTGACCTTCAAGACTGAACAGACAGGAGACAAAGGCCATGACACCAAAATGGCTTCAGTTTCTGTAGTTACTTCATCTTTTTAAACTTTTTATTTTTAATTAGCATACCAAGCATGAGTTTCGTTACAGCATTTTCAAGCATCACTTGATTTTTTTAAATATCTATTTATCTATCTATCTGTTTGTTTGTTTGTTTGTTTATTTATTTATTTATTTATTTATGCAACATTCTGTCTGTGTGTATGTCTACAGGCCAAAAGAGGGCACCAGACGTCATTACAGATGGTTGTGAGCCACCATGTGGTTGCTGGGAATTGAACTCAGAACCTTTGGAAGAGCAGGCAATGCTCTTAACCACTGAGCCATCTCTCCAGCTCCGCATCACTTGATTTTGTTATCATCTCTCCTCCTACCTCACATCCGATTGTTCTCCTTCCACCCACCCACCGCCAGCAACCCCCACTTTCATGTCACACAGTTAAAATTCTGTATCCCAAATCTCTGTCTCAGAGCATCTGGGAATGGGAATTGAGGGGTACTGTGACTTCAGCTTTCAAGGCTCATAATAACTATGAAAGACATGCCATATTCAGTATGATTTTAATATCTTTTGGCATTTGTTTTTGGGAGTAGGTACTGGGTTCACAACTTTCAGGAGTCAGTTTTCTCTTCATTGTGGGTTACAGGGATCAAACTCAGGTTGTCAAGTATGTGCTTTTACCCACTGAGCCATCTCGCTGCTCCCTTATATTTTTAACTGAAGGAAAGTTCTATTGTTAACCTAGTAGTAATTTAAGTAGCTCTCCACTTTGATGTGTAAAACTCTATGATGATTATTTAATACTATTTTATCTTCTGAACTCTAAAATTCTAGAGGCTGCCTTGTTTCAGGACTTTAATTTGTGGTGTCAGTCTTCTAGATAGCATGTATTATCATTTTAATTGCTTCTTTTTGGTTTCTACACAGGCTTGCCTCATAAGGAATTAGAGTTACCTTATTTTGGTTAGGTTGGTGAAATGGCTCAGTGGTAAGAACATTTGTTGCTCTGGCAGAGGGAGCCAAGTTCAGTTCGCAGCACTCAAATGGTGGCATGGCCTTTTGTAACTCCTGTTCTAGGGGATCTTATTCCTCCTCCTGACGTTTGTGAGCCCCAGGCATACATGTGGTACATGTACATGTTTTCAGGCAAAACACTCAAATAAAATAAAGGTAATCCTTTTTTTTTTTAAAGAGTGAGGGTTATCTAATGACCCAAACATTTTTTTCCTGAGTGGGAGACAGTGAGAAAGCATGCCAGCGCTCTGTATACTTACCTTGTAAGTCATTCTATAATGAAGATTTATGCACTCACTGTTCTCTCTCCTGTGGTTTGCTCTAGGGTAACCAGGAGCCAACAACAACTCCTGACGCAATGGTTCAGCCTTTTACTACCATCCCGTTCCCACCACCTCCACAGAACGGAATTCCCACAGAATACGGAGTGCCACACACTCAGGACTATGCTGGCCAGACCAGTGAACATAATCTGACGCTCTACGGGAGTACACAGGCCCACGGAGAGCAAAGTAGCAATTCACCCAGCAACCAAAATGGATCTCTCACGGTATGTGGGGTAGAAGATTCACAGTTGAAGGATGTATGAAATCTTCACCTTCCCCCGAAGACTGAAAGCCCTTTGAGTTGGTCTATGCATGTATTGGTTGTCCTTCTGGAACCCTCCTTCCTGCACCATCTGTCGTACCGTTCCCTACACACTGCTTTCACCACACGGTCTCAAAGCAGCAGGCTCATTGCCCCTCGCTGTTCCCTAGTACTGGACCATTTGGTTTGTGCCTCCCTCTTGGTTTTCCTATTCAGCAATGGATGTTCTGATGGTTTTTCTTCCTCTTGTTCTCAATAGTTTTGGTATTCTGGGTTTGGGTATTGAAACCCCTATTTCTTTTTTTTTAATGGTGCTTTTTCTATATTCTTACACTCCAGTCTTACTCTTCAGTCTTATTTGTACTTAGACACTTAAAACTTAGACTTAAGTCACTCATTTTCGTAAGCAAACACTAGGCTTCTCTGGTTCCTTAGCCTTCATTTCTACCCTTGATCATTATGGAATTCAGCAGCCACAGTTTCACAGTAATGTTCAACTCAGTCCTTTTCTCGTGTCCTCTCCCAGATCTTAGCTCTTCTGCCAGCTGCTTGGGATTGACTCGGGTGAGCTGAGCTTAAGTCGCAACCTGGCCTCAAAAGAATGAGTTTAGGCAAGTTATTTAATGTTCCTTTTCCTTGAAAGAAAAGAAATAAAGGTCATAGTGCCCACCTCAAGAGTTTTTGATGGGCCTAGTGATGGCACAGTCTTAAATCTTAGCATCCTAGAGTCTGAGGCAGGTGGATTGCCATAATTCAAGGTCTACTGGAGTTACAAAGAGAATCTAAGCCAGCCTTGATATACTTGCAAGACCCTGTCTCAAAAATACAAAGGGGCTGGGGATAACTCAGTTGTGGGGCTCATGTGTTAACACCAGTTGAGTTACCTTTAACTTTTCTTCCCCTGCATAGCAGCCATGATGGTTTTGTTTTCTAGTCTATGCTGTCCTGTGCTCCTGCCTAACTCCTAATAATTTTCTAGCACAGTTAGAAAACCATCCAGACTGTCCTTGGTTTTCTATTCCCTAGCTCAACCACCTCTTTGACCTCACCCCTAACTGCTTAATAAAGGAAAAGAAAATGCCCTAAGCTTACCACAGATACCTATCTCACACATACCTACAATCACACAGATACTATACAATCACCACACATGCCTACAATTATATCATACTGTCTGTAGGATTTTATTCTAAATGTCGAAATGTTCTATTGTGTAGATAGATCTGTTTTTCATGATTAGATCCCGGTTTTCCTCAGTATCATTAGAACAGGGGTGCATCATTTAGACTTTAAACATCTTGGTAACATTCACTTCACGAAGCTAAAAGCTTCAGTTAAATAAAGTTGGATAGAACCTGCAAAGACATTCATTTTATTTTTCTAAATATCAGATACTCCACCATGAAAAAAAAGTTGTTTCCATGAAAACATGTTATCTTTCTAATGATAGTTACTTGTGTGTATTTAATATCCAGTTGGTTCGAAGGCAGTATCTAGATCTGAGAGGTAATGAGAGGCTCCTTGTAGTATTTGTTCAGGACAAGGAATGTACAGACGCCTGTGTCTGACATGGTCCAGTTATCTTTCAAATGATAATGAACTCACAGACTTTTTAAGACAACTATTTCAACCAAATAAATTATAAAAATAAATTTATTTTTTATAAATAAATATATAGCTATAAAGGAATGAAAAGGGAAAAATAATATGTATCCAAGGCTTTTCATGTTATTTTAACATCAAACTTTATTTCAGGAAGAGTTAATGGTCTTTATAACTGCTGTTTCTCCTTTTTTACTTTCTTGGTAGGTTCTGTTTTTTGTTGTTGTTTGTTTGTCGTTGTTGGTTTTTGAGACAGGGTTTCTGTAGCTTTGGGGCCTGGTAGCCTGTGTTAGAATTTGCTCTGTAAATCAGGCTGACCTCGAACTCAGAGATCCACTTGCCTCTGCCTCTCAAGTGCTGGGATTAAAAGCATGCATCACCATGCCTGGCTCATTCTTGGTTTTGATCATTTATGCCTTCTCTGGTCAGTCTACAAATTAAGATTTGTATTTATTTGTGTGTGAGGATGTGGGTGTATGTATGTTTATGTAGGTGCACGTACACACCATACATGTGTGTACCACATGTAGAGTCCAGAGGCCACACTCAGGTGTGGTTCCTTGGAAGCCACCCATCTTGTTTTTTCCTTGGTATGGAACTCACTGAGCAGGTGAGGTTGGTCAGCCAGCCGGTCTCAGGCATCTGTCTGCCTCTGCTTCCGCAGAGCTGGGATCAAAGGTGTCTGCCCTTAAACTTGGCTTTTTCACTTCGGTTCTGGGAATTGAATTCAGATCCTCGCAGTGATCTGGCAAGCAGTGCACCCAACTGAGTTTCTCCCCACTGTCCCCTTCTGACCTCACTGCCTTCTTCCTGGCTGGTATGTGACTCTTCCTCCTCTACATTTTATTTTCTGTGTTGGGTGTCTGCCTGCCTGTGCACCATGTGTATACACCTGCCATTTCCCATGTCTCATGTCTTTCTCTTTCCTCTGCTTCTGTTACTGTGTAAAACACCATGGCCAAAGAAAACTTAGTGAAGAAAGGGTTTATTTTATCTTAAACTTCCATATTACAGTCCAACTTTGAAGGGGAATAAAGACAGAAACTCAAGTTAGGAAACTGGAGGCAGGAACTGAAGCCAAAGTCATGGAGAACATTGTTTCCTGGCTCACTCAGCCTGCTTTCTTATGACACCCAGGACCACCAGCCCAGGCTGCCACCACACACAGTGAGCTGAGCTCTCCACATCAATAACCAATCAAGAAAATGCCCCTGGGAGGCACTTTCTCAGCTGAGGTTCTCTCTTCCCAGATGACTTTAGATTGTGTCAAGTTGATTTGAAACTAATTTCAAGACTAACCAGCACAGCTCCATTTGCTTGTCTCTATTATTATTCTGTGTAAGTAAGGGGAACACTTGTTGTTTTCCTACTGAGACTTTTATTTCATTATAAAGTTTAATCTAAATCTCAATAAAATCTGAAAGTTTGTCTTTGGTACTTATTCTCTCTTTTGTCGTTAAATTTAATAATTTCTGCTTTCAGCTGATTCCATCTTTGTTGAACCATCTCAAATCTGCCATTGATCTCAATCTAGTAAATTTATTTGTTATTTTACTTTTTAATTCTTGACTTGCCATTATTCTATGTATCTCTGTATACAGATTTCTTACTTGCTGTGATATTTTTTCTTAATTCCCGAGCTGTATTTGTATTTGCTACATTGGCAGTCATGTTCAATTTAGCATCTGGGCCTGGGTCCATTTCTGGTTACTGCTCTTTTCCTTTTTGTCTTTTTTTCTTTTCTTTTTTATTTTTTTTCATGCTACAGATTTTTCTCCTACCACTCTTTTGTATGTTATTGTTTTATTGTTTTTGTTTTTACTGCGCATGTATTTAATCTGGATCACACTTTGCTCTTTCCTTCTTTCCATAGTGACTCTGTTTTGTTTGTTTTCTGAGGGAAGGCATATGCACATGTGTTCTAAGCGGTCTGCCCATGCTGGAACCCCATTGCCAGGACACTGATGTTTCTACCTGATAATGTTTCTTCTCTCTCTCCCTGCCGTTTGCTCGCTCTCGCTCTCTCCCTCACCCTCACCCTCACCCTTTTCCCTCTCCTCACCTTCCCAGCTAGAAGGCAGATGCTCCTAAAACACCTGCAGCTTTAGAGAATCCAGTTCATTCTGTTAGCTGCCTGACGGTTAGGAGATGGCATTCAGAATTCAGCCAGCTCATTCTCAAGTCTGCCTTGGGTTTTCTTTCCGTTGTTTCTATTTTCTCTTCCTTTCCTCCTTTTTACCTGTCTAGTTTTGCACCCTCCATGGAAAAGGAGAGTTTATCTAGCCTTTCTCTAGTTCTCTTTTTCCTAGGATCTCCCTTTTAGCCCTCTGGTGAATTCACTCCTCACCCCAGTCAGACCACAGCCATAAGCTCAGACTGTCCTGTTAGAGTCTTACCAGTTTGATACTTGTTGCTGCATGAGGTTTTTTCTTCCTCACTCTCCTCCCACACTTGTAGGAGATGGGAATATATCGCTTAGAGACTGAGTTGAGTAGTAAAACTCAGACCTAACATTTCCTCTACTAAAATTTTACCATCTGCTTGTGTGTCTCATAAAATAGTCTAGCAGTTTGCATGGCCAATTAAATTCAAGAGGCAGACGACAGGAAGCAAATTAATTAATCATAACCTGAGTTTGCACAGCGCCTTTCAGTTTAAAATACTTTTTCAGACTGTTTTATTGTGACATGTAAAACAACCCAAGTAGGGAATTCTAGGTCCATACCCTTCACTGTGCCATTCAGATTCCCCTGCTCAAGCCCAGTGGAAATAGATTTTATGCATGTTTATTAGTCTTATCATGCTGTGAGCATCTTGTCACTCAGTCCATGTAGATGTTGTCATTACCAGAAAGCCTTCCTGACTTTCTGAAGCTTCTAAAGCCAAAGTTCAGTTGTGTTCATCTCTGCATCCCATAACTTCTCCCAATGCCCAGAACTTGATGCTTTTTGGAGAAAAGATGAAACAAGGTATAGATATGCTCAAGAGGGAGAGGCTGGGTATTTCTGTAATTGTTATAATTGGTCTGGTATTGTATTATCAGTAGTAGGAATTCAAGCCTGCATAGATGGTGATACAAAGGCTAAAGAGAAGAAACCGAAATGTCTAGGTCAAAGCATGGATTCCCATTTGGACAAAAATCAGGGGTGTTTGTTGAAGGCTGTGGGAGAAAAATCATTTGAGCATGAATTGGTAAGAACTTTTGAACACTGGGATGAGAATCAAGGACTTTGTTGGAAGTTTTGAGCAAAGAAATAAAGTGAGTAAAATATACTTCTAGAACATGGTCTGTTGCAGCATAGGCAGCAGGGATGCCAGAAGCTTAAGTGCCCAGCTCTATAGTGAGTGACTAGTGTGGTT